AAGTTTCCATTATTTCTTTTATACCATGGCTAGAATAAAAAAATAGAAATGGGGGCTCCTCCTTTTTGAATTCTATCTAATCACCCCTCCCCAAAGAATTTCTCTCTTACTTTACATTTTAGAAACAAGTGAATGAATCCCGGTTCTCAAACCATGTTTACTATGAGACTTACTTCAGCAGTAACAACTAACTTAGAGGCCTTTTTGATGGGCTCATCTGATTCCCAATTAGTTTGGGTTACCCCACACATTTTGGGGGCCTCATCCTCTTTTTCTACATTTTCATATTTGTAGACTGCATGGGCTTCACTGTCAGAAAACTTCAAAGGTTCAATAAAGTATGTCTCCCTTTGAAGCTTGAAATGTCCTCTGTAAAACAATGTGGAAAAGGGTGATCAGAGATGGAGAAGCAATACAAGAGAATATGATTAGTTCAGAGATCACCTGCACTGATGATGTTACCTAGTTGGGTTATAAAACTCAGTTCTGAGACCCATTTTTAACTAAACAAGTCAACATACTCTGTGTTTTTGAATCCCTTCTTAACACTCACTGAATTTTTAATTTTTTTTCCTCAGCAATCATATCCCTTTCTCATACTTCTCAAAGATACAGGTATGATCAGAAAGATATAAGAGATTGCACACACTCAATACAACCATGAAATATTTGTACAGTATTCGTTTGGAGATACTTTTGCTTGGAATACCTTTCTAGCAATGTATGCAATCTGAAACCTATTTATCTTCTCTACCTGTAACATCACCTCCTGTATGTAAAGGAGACAGGGGCTTGGAAGCTCCTTTAGACAGATCAGATTTAGCTCACTAGTGTGTCTACTCACTGGCAGCAGCTCTTCTTGGTATTCAGCCAAAGTCTTTCTTAATTCTGCAGAAGTCTTGGATCACACCCTACTCATTTGCATGAAAAACTGATGTCCTTCATTTTAACTGTGACAACCCCAAGAGCAGTATATTATTCTTAATAAAATAAATAAAAGATTAGAGACTATCTTACTTCAAACCATTGCATGCACTGATGCTTGCAGTTGAGTCAGCATCATTCTGGATGCGTCCATGATAATAGCAGTGATCCTATAGGGAGACAAGAGGACTACACTGGTTAAAGCTGGTCTGCAGTGTGATTTGATGAGCAGAAGTACAGTTCCAATGTATTCCACAACATCAATGAAATATTAAGACAGCAGTTATTCAGCATATTTTGATTCAGGGGGACAGAAGACCTACTTAATATTTATTTGTTGCAAAATGAGCATAGGATAAACGTAAGTCTCCATAAATCAAGTCACACTGCAGGGGGAGTCCCACTGATGACACAAAACTAAGAACTTTTGGGCAGACAACCAACATACAAATATAAAATTTTCTCTTGGAGGTCAACTCTAGTGCTGAACCACAGGATTTGCTGAAGAAACTTTCAGACTTGATGGTTGTCCTACGTTCTGAAATCTTACCATAATGTATGAAAAATTCCACATTTACTAATAATACCAAATAATCATTATTTCCTTGAGCTCACACAAGGAAAGTTTCAGAATATACAGGGAGGTATAATTCTTAGCATTATTTGGAAGCAGGATCCATGTAGACAGTAAAATCAAGAGATGTTTGTTACACACTAGGTGGGAGCAATTTTTATGACCTTTGAAGATGCTAAGCCAGAAGTAGATAATTTTGGAGACAGTGGATGCATGTTTAGATCAATTTGGAGGCAAGGAGCCAAAGACTTCATAAAGCATATTAGTGCTGTCTTTTTTTTTTTTTTTTTGGCAGCATGTAGGGCCATGTTCTGTACTCTTTTAATGTGAAAGATATTATATGGATTTCTGTATAGGAGCAAAGTGAATTGTTCTCACATTTGGTATTACAAATAAAAGACTTTGCATGTATTCCTGTAGTGTGGTTTAAAAATGAAAATATAGATCTTATAAACCTGATGTTCTCATAATAAATCTATTTGTGAAACTCACTCCCAAAATGATGGCTTTTAACCAGTAGGAAAGAACTGGATGATTGAAATACTGCCATAATAATTCAATGAGTAAAACAAACTGGGTTTAACAATCCATAAATCCTTATAACAACATATCAATATAAGATATTTCATAGATATATAGCCCTTCTTTTTTGAGTAGCCTGGTCTCGATCTTGTATATTTGTAATATTGTGCACAAACATTTGCTTCAATTTACTACTACTACTACTACTACTACTACTACTACTACTACTACTACTAATAATAATAATAATAATAATAATAATAATAATAATAATAATAATAATAATAATAATAATAAAAAAGTAAAACTCTTAAAAATAAGACCCTACCTCAACCGAGGGGTATGTTGTAATTTCTCTGCCATCAGGGGAATAATGAGTCTCACTGTAATCTTTTGAAAAAAGTCCTCTGCAAAGAAGAGAATATCTATGTCAGGAATTAAGTAGGACTGAGATAATTTTATAATAAGTTTACAACTACTGTATAGTGGAAATGTAAGCATCTTGTTTGGTATCAAAAGAATGGAGCAGGTATTTCAATCCCATGGCTATTTAAGAGGAGGGCTGTGCATACTAGATTCACCTGAGGATAGAGNTGAGGATAGAGATTTACACCAAGGAAGCTGTGCAATTCTCTTCATCAAGGCTCAGAGGAGAATGATTGACCAGGAGAAGACATTTTCTATTGCGTCTTCTTTTTATTCTTCTGGTCTATGCAACAATCTGATGAATCTGCTTGGTCTATAAAGGAGAGCAGTATAGCTCTATTTACTAAAGAGTAAAATGAAACAACCTCAAGGAAATGGATGCCTTGAACCTTCATACAGAAGCATCTCTCTTGAAGCTTTAAACCAATGTATGGAGTCACTTTCCATTCTATTCACTTGGCATTGCCTTCTATTTTGCCAATCTAGATATTCCTTGCTAGTCTTCCCTCTCTAGTCCTGCTTTGTTTCCATGCCAAAACAAGACCATCCAGATGCTAACTTGAAATTCCGTGCAGCCTTCCTATTTAAACAAAACAAAAGGGGACACTAGAACTTCTAAAGCGCACATTAGAATTCAGCATGAAATGTCTCCAGTGGAATAGGATAAATTGACACACAGATAACCACAGACAGGGCAATTTCTTTGTAGCTTATACCTCACTGGAGGTTTTCAAGGAATGATTGGACAGCTATGGAATGGTATAGTCTCCTGCTTGATCAGAGGGGTGGACTAGAAGACCTCCAAGGTCCCTTCCAACTATGTTTTTCTTTTCTTCTGAAAAGTAGTTTCATTCCATTTCTGTGGCTTATATTTGCATAATATTTTATATCATAAAATATAATAATATTAAAATGTTATTATAATATAATATTATAAAAATATTATATTTTCATATCTTGATTTACATGTCAAATGGAACACCATTGAGAAGACTCACATGGCATTCTTTAAAAAAAATATTGGGAAATCTGGGCTTGTTTAGGTCATGTCTCCTTTCGGTCCTTAATAGGAGATGACATTTCCTGCCTTTCCTACTTTAACATATAAATTCTGATGTAAGTTGAGCAGCTATGTAGGTCTCATAGGAAACATTATTCATATTGATGGAGTATTTGTGAACCAGCATAAGCAATCATTTTTAAATCTTTGCAATATTTCATAACTAACCTAGTTAATTCAAGTGATAGAAGGTTATGAGCCTTGAATAGTTCAATTTTGTCTAAAATTGTTATGGTCCAGCAGTGTACCACAGGAGAGCAGGAATAAAAAAACTCAGTTCTGAGGTAAGATATAATTAACATACTCAATATCTATATCCACTTTTCCTACACAGTAACATTTATTTTAGTTTTAATTTCCAAACAAAGGAATGCAATTATTATTTCTCTTAGATTGTGTCCAGGAGTATACATTTTCCATATTGTCTAAATGAAGTTAAGAAAAATAGTCTGAGTTAACATACTTATTTTTTTCCAGGTGAAGGACCACTGGCTCTCCATTCACTTTAAATTCATATTGCATGGTGTCTTCATACTGAAATGCAAAGAGTTCAGGCTTTATTTCTTAAAAAAATAGGCAAATAAAATGTGTACCCTGTTAACAACTCTACACCTGTATCAATTTAAATCTAATGAATAATTTGCCATAGCCAAATTATTCATTAGATTTAGAGTATTTCATCCAGTAATGTAAACTGTAAGATCTTAAATTAACTTTCCTGCATAAGTTCAAAATTTCATTCTCTAATTGAACATCTTGGTGAATGAGGTTATGCTGGGACAGAGAGACTGACTCAAAAGTCATCCAGTGATAGACATTAATCTGGTTCTTAGAACTAATCTTGAGTTGTAACCACCAAACTATCTTCCCCTAGAAACACATATTTTACATTTCTAAGTGATGCATGTAGACATGCAGAGTTTACATTAAATACTTTACTGTATTCTGCCTATAATACAGGAATCTCCCTAGACTGCTTCCCTTCTCTTCAGAACAGATAGATAAACTTTAATGGAATTTCTTGGGGGGGGGGGGAAGGATGTCAGTCCTGGATCTGTTGCAGCTATGAAATGATTCAAGGCTAATTCTCTACTTGATCCCTCCTCACTGTACGGCTGGGTGTCTCCCAAAATTTTATTACTTATATTAACCTATACATATTAGGAAATTCTATTTGTAAATTGCAATTACTATGGGCTGACAAGAAATAAGTTGTTGATGAAACAAAGATCTTTCTCTTACCTTTGGCTGAACTTCTCCTTTGGGCAATGAAGTGACTTTTTGTGGATACACTACTTCATAATCATTAACGTTCCCAGATCCCAGGATTATAGAGCTCCCTTCGTAAGGAAAAAGAAAAGAAAGGTTTGGTTTACTTTGGGATGTTATTCTACCATTTTCACATCCACAACACAATTTGTTATTCAGTTCTCAGTGAAGAATGGAATCTTTTTCTAGTGGGACACAGCACAGAAATCCAGATTTTCTCTGGGAATGCGATTTGCTGAATCATGTTTGGGAGCTGGAAGTCTAAGTGGAGACATTGCTTTGGGCAGGTGCAAAAGAAACATTTTGGAGCTTGAATAATCAGAAAAGTAAATAAATATATCTCAACCAATCTGGAGGCAACTATAAAAATAGCACCAAGCCACATCTTATACTGAAATTAACCTTTCTGTTCAAGTAGAAGATAAATGATAAACCGGTATTATAATGTATGCATGCTTCAGCAAATGTATACCTACTTTTCTTATCTCAGTTTCATGCTGAGTCTGATCTAAAATTTCTAAATTCTTCTCTCATAATAGAAAAAGGGATTGAGGTGATTCCTCATAGCTGCTACTCAGCTGAACAACCTCACTCTCCTCCATTAATTTGTCTCTCTGTAGCTCTATATTTTACTTAAGATCTTCTTGTGGCTTGATAAAATTTAAGAAAATACCAACAAACCATTTATTTAGCTATAGAACAAATGTGATCCTTGAGAGCATTCTTTTGCTAAATCTGTAGAAACTGAAGTGGAGCAAATTTTGGTTAATTGTCAAAAATAAAACCCAAAACAAAACCCATCAACATAGCAATCTGTTGAGTGCAATAGTCTTTTAGCAGTAAGAATCTGAACAAGGGAACCAAAGATAACATCTTACCTTGATAAGGAAAAACTGCTAAGCATATGGTTACCAAGAGAACCTGGATCATTTTGGAGGCTGGATTTGGCTGGAAGACAGGCAATCTCTTCCTGCTTTCAAGCCAACCTGAGCTCTTCCTCTGTTGACTATGAGAAGCAAGGAATGAGTCCTTCAGCTTCATTCATGCTCTTATATGAGAAGGTGTTTGCTAAAGGATTTGCACAATTCTAAGTTGTAACAATACTACTGGAGGGCAGTTTTCCAGCTGGCTTAGCGCATGTCACTCCAAAAATGACAGCTGAAAGGGTTCGTTCAGGGCACCCCCAAAGGAAAAGCCCAAAGGAGGCTATTAATTGGCCACAGCAGACTTTTCCCTGGCTCACCTGTTAATACAACTGAATTTGGGGCCTCTGGTGCATGGGGTCTTAAATGCCAATAGTTGGTTTTTACAGTATTTTGTGAGTAAGAGGCACTTTGGGAGCAATCTAGCATCCTTTCAATATTGCTAGCATTAACTGAATCCATGTCAATGCTAAGGGATCCCTGATTTCACTAAGGGGGAAAAACCCCTCTGTGTCATAATAGACTCTCACTTTGTAGAGAACTCAAGAACTTTTGTTATCTCTTCATATAATTCCTTCAACAACTTCTCCATTTTCTGAAATGGGATTTATATGTTGATGCAAATGTCAGCTGCGGTAATATGCATCCAAAGTGAGGACAATTAATCAGTGGAATGGCTTGCTTTCAGAAGTTGTGGGTGCTCCAAGATGGGACGTTTTTCAGAAGAAATTGGACAACCCTTTGTCTGGAATGGTACAGGATCTCCTGTTTGAGCAGGGACTGGACTATAAGATCTCCATGATCCCTGTTATCCTATAAAGGCCATTTGAAGGGGAACTTTGAGATGAATCACAGAGCAGAGTGAATCATTTCAATTGCCTTAAGAGGACCCACTTTTCCCTTATAATCTCTTCTTTTGTCTCCACCTGAGATAGAAATCTATAAAGGCACAATAAAGACGAGTGTGAAAAAAGGGGCACTACCCACCCTCCTGAATTTAGCCTTTTCTTTTCAAGGGGAGGATAAATGATAAACCAGAATTACAATGTATGCATGATGTATACCTGCTTTTAATGCTTTTCTTATCTCAGTTTGATGCTGAATCTGATCTAAACTTTCTAAATTCTTCTCTCATAATAGAAAAAAGCAGGAAAATTTTTCCCTTTCAGTCACCTTAAAAATGAGTTACCCAATCAGCGTCCTTGAAGTGAGAACATGGTTCTCAAAGAATGAAGAGAAATCCAGAATTCCAGGATTGAGGTCATTCCTCATAGCTGCTACTCCACTGAACAACCTCACTCTCCTCCATTAATTTGTCTCTCTGTAGCTCTATATTTTACTTCTGAAGGAGAGATCATGACTCCCATCAGTAGACAAGGAAACATCTAGATCCTCTCACTTTTCTCCCCTAGGAAAATTGTTCTTCATTTCCAGGTGGTTCAGATTAATTCTGTTTAAATTATTATTGTCTGATCTCAGTTTTCCTTTCTCTGAATGTGGCTGTGTTTGCTGTATTATTTATAAAATATGCTATATTTGGACTGCAGATTTATTTAGTTTTAGCATAGTTTTATTTTCTAGAACTAGAATTTGTCTTTTTCCTTTGTATGAATTGGTCAATGACTATAAGAAAGTTTCTGGGCTGATCGATAACTAGCTACTTCATAAGCCAATTTTATGTGTAAATTATTAAATCACCATTATTATTATTTTTTTCTACTTACAGTATGAAAACAAAAGCTATACAGCAACTTTTGCTCAGGAATTCACTAGCTTAGTGAAAATATTTATTTTTACCTGCATTTTATTCAATTGGGTGAATGTACAGTATGTACAGGTATATGTACTCTACGCATAAAGATTTTTCTTTCAGAATCTTTTGCCTTATCTTTAATAATAATCCCTTAGACTTCCAGATATTGCTAATCAACTGGGCATCTCCCAGCAGACCTAAGCAGTGTGGTCAATATATCTAGGTTTTAATTTAATAGCATCTGGAGGTCTTAGGGTTTCCATCTCTTCTACAAAATTCATAAGGACTTTTGCCAATTTTTCAGCTTCAAGAACCCTTCAGCCCTCTTTGCTGATGTAGCAGTTCTTGTCTAGGTTGAAGTTGCCTCTTGGATTCCCATACTCTGTCATGCATGCCGTTCTTTAAAAGAAGAAGCTTTGGTACATCTCAATGATCTGTTTGTTCTTTTCAATTATATTAGGAGGTAAACCTCTTGAGGTCCTTGTATTAGAGGTAGGAATAATAAATTCTTCTCTGCTTTGAGTGCAACAAATGCTCTTGGTTATGTGTGACTGAGTACAAAAGCTAAAATTTCATGGGGCATCCAGATTCTCTTTCTCTCTTATCTATTTCTTCCTTGTTTTCTAAGATATCATTCTTTCTTCCTCTTCATATAAAAGACAAAGGATAGTCCATTCTTGCCACAATTATGAACAGTTGTTGCAGTGGTGTTGGTGTTTTGCAACGAATGTTTGATACTTGGCTAAAGATTTGCAAAGATTTTTATTCTATAGTCTAATCTGATAGCTTTTGTAAACTTAAAGGTGATGGCCTTTTCCCTGGCATTTGATAG